TGCAGCTCTTACTACTTAACATTTTCCCCAAAACATCAAGCTTTGTCATACTCCTATATGTTTGCAAAGGCTTTTCTATATTCCTACAGCATCCTTTTCTAACTTGTATTTATCCTACTAAACTCAGCTCTCTGTAGAAGCCTTTCCTGAGGTCTCCAGGCAGTTTAGCTGCCCCATTCAACTTGTACATAAAAACAGAAATTATTTTTTAATTACAAAGAAAAAAATTCAAACTTTTAAATAGTTATTTTGAATTCTCAATGTAATTCAATATGTACAATGAAATAAATTATAAAATACTGACTGTGTTGTGGATTATGTCCTTTACAAATTTGATAGCTAAAACAGACAGATTTTGACACAGCATATCAACAGTGATACAGATACTGAACAAGAAAGTATCATTTCAGGATAAATCAGGATTGAAAGCAAACTTGAGCACTCATTTAGGTGTATGCTTAGATATGTCATTTCTAAGGAATGAATTATAAAATATTTGAGTTTTTAAATTTCTTTTTCTTTACTCAGAACGATTAAGAACTTAAACCTTGGAGTCATGAAGACTTGGGGCAAATGCCACTTATAATTTGTGAGATGTTGGGCAGGTGATTACACTTAGTCTCAGTTTTCTCATGGGATAAAAATAAATAGTAATTGGTGGTGATGGTAATGATATTACTTGAATTATTAAAAACAGTATCATTATATAGGCCTTTCTTTCCTTCCACAGATAGTGTTGGAATTTTTTTTTTTTACCACAAATCCTTAGTGCCATGCAAATAATAACCTGTTGAATAGAGAACCCCTTCTCCAATATAGTTCGCCTTTATTCATTTATATAACTTTGACAAAAATAACAGAATATGATGGACACTAGATGGAGCAACATTCCAAAGAGAGTAATATCTTCCCTAACCAAGACTTTTAATATTTATTTAAAAATTAATCATGTCTAGAAAAAGAATGACACATAATTTCAGGTTACCTGGATGCACTTTTCAGGGAAGAAAAAGTGGGTTTGAACACTTCAGAGATGTAGATATGAGAAAACAAGCTTGACAAAGATTTGGATACACCACAGTCATATGTGATATTGTGGGCTGATATGCCCACTCCCCCAATTCATACGTTAAAGTCCTCACCCCCAGTGCTTCAGAATGTGACTGAATTTGGAGATGGGGTCTTTAAAGAGGTAACTAAGTTATGATGAGGTTATTAGGGTGGGCCCTAATTGAATATGACTGGTGTCCTTATAAGGAGAAAATTTTGATACAGACACATAGAAGACAATGTGAAGATGCAGGAAGAAGAAGGCCACTTACAAGTCAAGAAGAAAGGCCAGGAATGGATCCTTCTTCAGTCCCTTTAGAAGAAACCAACTCTGCCAAACCTTGATTTGGGCTTCTCACCTCCAGAACTGTAAGAAAAATAAATTTGTTGTTTAAGCCAGTGATTTTCAACAAATGTGCTGTGAGAATTTTTAAAATATGCAATATCAGACTATTTAGTCAGGGGCACTGACCTCTTTTTCCTTAGATTGTCAAATAAAAATGACAGCAACAAATACAATAGCCATCTTGTGTGAATGAATCAAAATAATACCTTTTTTTTGTCAGATGGGCAAAAAATATATTTTTTGGTGTGCTGCACAATTTTAGCAATTAGTTTACATGTGCCATAAGATGAAAACAGTTGAAAATCACTGGTTTAAGCCATCCAGTGTGTGGTACTTTGATATGTAAGTCCTAGGAAACTAATACATGTGAAAAGGAATACTAGAATATAAGCTCTATATATTCTATACGAGGGCAGGAATTTTTGTCTTTTTTGTTCATTGATGTATCTCAAGTACCTACAACAATGCCTGGCATAAATAGGTGTTCAATAAATATTTGCAGAGTCAACTAATAAATAAAACAGGCCAATAAAATTCTTCCCTTAGATGACTCTATTAAATATCACCAGTGTTTCAGTAATGCTTTTTTATTGTCATAACACCTGAGAACTTGGACTCCCAATGCTCCTACCAAGTGCTGTGGTGTAGTGCATCTGCTGCCACAGCCCAAAACTATAGAATCCTCTGGTGAAACTCTTATGATTCAGTTTCTGGAGCAACTTCCTTATGAGAAGAGCTAAGAAGATAAAAAAAAAGCTGCTGTAATACAATAAATGTAAATTAGTCCACATAGAGAAACAGATCAAAGTTATTAGTTCCATCCTGAGGAAAATGCCACAAACAGATTAACTTGCTGGCATTGTCTTTCCCTCAAAATATCTGGTTAGCTGATTTCACTAAAGGCACTGAGAACAGCCCGGACTTAAAATTTAAAGTAAAAACATGAGCAAGGACTTTGCTGTTGTTCTTATTAAAGCATTTCTTGTGTGGACACAGGAAAAAGACTAATTAAATTTCCTTCTGACTTATTCAATTACAGATTCATGGTGCATGTCTGTTTTTAAACTGATTTCCATGTCTTAATGTAATCACTATCACCATCAATCAACACTTAATTTGACACCCTAAATATGCTAGGGTAATAATAGCAAAATAAAACAAAAGAAATATGGAATATATAAAGTACTCTGACTTTAACTTATATGCAAATATCTTTTAAGTAACAGCGAAAGCGAAAAAATAAACCCCACCAAATTATAGGTCTGTTAGATGTGATAAACTTATAAGTAATTCTCTTTCTGTTCAAATTATTTGTAATTTTATATGTCTCTCTTTCTAAAGCATAAAGTTTTCAAAATCCATTCTAACTTCTAATCATTACAGGGAGAAAATTTAAGATTAGAAATTCCCCTCAAGGGAGAGGATGATACACTAATATTTATTTTTAAAGTATGTTTAATCAATACATTTATACAGAATATACATGAGAAAGCCAGAATCCACCAGTTTCATAGGCAAGTGAAATTCAGCATTTTGAAATAAAAAATCTGGAAACTCTCATCCATTCTGGAAGTAATTTAAAAATTAAGTTAAAGCTTGTTCTGTTTTGGTCTGGGAATCAGCTCCCAAACTGATGCAATCTGAAACCAGAGCCAACAAGTGTTTACCAAAGCCCTTGTTCCAAAGAGAGAAGCATTTTCTAATTCTCCAGAAGTGATGTGGTTGGGATAGCGACAGACTTAAGCAAAGGTAGCAGGCAGGAATACAAACATGAAATTCATTTTGAAATATTTTCTTTTCCAGCAAAATGAAAGCTAAATACTTTCTCACAATAAGCAGTTTGCAATCAAGCGCTCCTCAACTAAATCGACTTCACTTTCCTGGAAATCACAGCATAAACACGAAGTGCCTCTGGGGCTTATACACTGCAGAATGGAAAAAATGAAGCTGTAGGCTTTCTCAAGGATGATTCAAAAAAAGAAAGTTCATTAAATTACTATATCCCCTTCTTTATCTTGTCTGGGAGGCTTATAAATCAAGTGAATGCACTCCAACCCCAGGAGTATAAAGTTCTTAGTCCATAAGTGATTGGAAGACACCTTGAGAGCTCTGCATCAGGCTTTATCACATAGTAGACTCTGCACTCCATAGCACTCTCTTAACACTTGTCACAGTTGTGCATACTCGTTTCAGCCCTGACCAACACAAGGCTCCAGAGCTAAATCAGAAAGTCTATCATTTCATATTACCCAAACACCATAACGTGTTAGGTATTATATAGCCAAATATTGAGCACATTTAAAAAAAAGAAAAAGAAAAAGAAGAAAGTGCTTCTCGATTGGAATAGCTCTGTATCTTTATTGCCGTGGTGGCTATATGAATCTATGCGTGGTAAAATGGTAGAACTATGCACACATCTTAGGCACTGCCAATTTCCTCTTTCCTGTAAACTGTCTGACATAACAATTGTGGGCAACCAAGTAGAGGTTGCACATAACCTCTCCATCCTGTCTTAACTTCCTGTGAACCTGTATTTATTTCAAAATAAAATGTTTTTCAAAGTGCACCTTGTGATGTCTATCAACATACTTTGAACACTGTGCGTTAGAATAACTCATGGGGGATAAAACATAGCCTGCTATTCCAATGTGAGGTTTCAGCCACAACCCAGGCGGTAGCTTGATGTTGGGAATAATTTGCACCTGCTTTTCCTCTGCCTGGGATACCCTTTCCGACCTCCAGCATTCCGCACCTCCTGCCCCCTTTCCCATAGCTGGTACCTTCTCATCTTTCAGGTCACATCTCAATGCCACCTTCTTACGGAGACCTCCCCTCCTCCCCTAACTAAAGTGGATGCCATCTGCTATTCTCGCGTTCCCTTCACCGCATTCTTAGTCACGTGTAACGGTTTAGTTTGTTTGTTGCTTGTCTGTCCACTAGACTCTAAACTCCCTGAGGGCGGCACTGGGTCTGTGCCTTGTCCACTGTACCCAACAAAGAGCACGCGGCTTGGCAGGAGGAAGGTGCTCCAAAGGACGTTGTTTGAATAAACGCACTTCACTCGAATTCACTCCCTTGACTCGAGGGAGGTCACCTGAGTTCCTTCCCTTCACCTCATCGGTCCTAGAAATCAGGGATTGTCTCAGAGCCCTCACTTTGACCAATGGGTGACGTTTCGCTTCCTTTCCTCCACTCGGACCCACCAGTTCAGGGAAGGCGCCATTCTCGTCATTCATTCGTCTGCCCAGAAGGGCGCCTTTTCCTTATTCGCAACTTTTTATTCGCAGCTGTTACTCAGGCCTTCCAGTCAGCGGCCTCCCCAATACCTTCAGCACCTGACCCGTGCCTCGCGACTTCCCTCCTCGTTTCTTCTTTCGGGTGGCGCCCTTTGGCCCCTACCCCGGCGGCCTCGCGGGTCCCTCACCCCGCTGGCCACGCCCCTCAGCTACAGGACCGCGCGGGAAAGGCACAACCCACGACCGCGCGGTCACCGCCTTTGGGCAGAGGGTGGGGGGGTGTGTCCTGTTTGCTACTGGGCGTCGATTGGCCTGGCTGCGCGGAGGGGGCGGGACCGCAACCAGAGTTTCGAAACCCGGGTCTGCTCAGAGCATTCCTTGCTGCGCCCGGTCTGGCTTCGTCGATCAAGGCTCTACAGCAGCGACTCCGTCTCTGGCAGCATGTCTGAGAAACGGCAGGGATCGGACACCCAAGCCCGGCGGGGCCCTGACACCTTCAAGGGTGAGCCCCGCGCCCCTTAACCCTCTCCTCAGGGACAAGCCCCAGCCGGAAGCTCCCAGGCCAGTAGCTTGGCTGTGCGACCGCTACTTAAATCTGCGGTTTCCTCACTTGCACGCCGAGAATGACGAACACTGCTTCACGGGCTCGGGGGCCAGGTCTAGGGATGTTAGGGTGCAGAGTGAACTTCAGCGACGTGCCCGGCACGCCGTGGACGCGCCAACGGCAGGGCGCGTTTCCAGGACGCAAAGCTGTCCCAGGGGCCCCCGTTATCCAGTGCTTGCCAGGCCCTGTACCAGAGCTTTTGGTTCATTATCTCCTGCCCAGCACGCGGACGAGGAAGTACAAAAGGGACTCGGGGCCAGCGAGTGGTGGAGGCGGGGCTCACACCTGCACTGCACACCCGGGACCCCGCATCTTCCCCGTCGGCCGACTCCCCCGCCCTCCCCGCCCCATCTCCTCGGAGGCCACCTCCCCCACCCAGCCTCCGCCCACCCCCGGCGCGAGCCCCCGCCTCCGGCCGCGGAAAGAATTCCTGTTCCCCGACTAAAAACCCCGGCCAGTGCCGTGTCCTGTAATAAGCAAGGCCACCTGTGAGGTTTTGCTCCCAGCTCCCGACGCAGAGTGGGCCGTATTTGGGGAAGAAAATGAGAAGCCTCTTCTTGGCATTCATCCGGCACCTCTTCCCCGCTTCGCTTCCTACCCCGTCCCCGCCCTCTCCACTTTATTTTGTCCCAGGGACCCCGCTTTGGTTCCTCACAGGGGTCTCTTAAGTTCCCTCACCCTGCCTCGCATCCTGAAGGCAGAAACGGTGAGTGGCTCAGTGTCGTTGTCCTGTGAAGGAACAAGTGCCCTAGAGTAGACTATCACCTTAAACCATTATTGGCTAACTCCTTAGGGGGTTCAAAAAAAGAGGCGACAAACCTCTCAGGAGACTTTGGTTCCCTCCCAGGGGCTCGTAGCCACCCAGAGGAGTTATTTCTATGGATGGAATTTCAGACACGATGACAGTGAAAGAAATGGAGGGGACAGAGTGGGCTTTTTCAGCACCCCCACAGAGAACGCTGCAGGGGTCAGGCCCAAATAACGCCCATTTTTTATGACAGAATCTTTTATTACAAAAGCATAAGCATGTAATTCTGTAACATACACTATCACACTCAAGCGCACCATGGGACACCTTGGGTGAAAGGTTCAAATTACAACTATAAATGATTACACCCACATTATTACCTTACCAACCACACTCCCGCAGGCGTTACTTCTGCCAGACCCTGTATCTTGAACTCATCTATTCTGCGTATTCCTAGAGCCGGTCTTGTCCACCCACCCTGTACAAGCCCCGTTTGCCTTTCCCAGCGATCCTTGTCTTTAGTTCCTTCCCAGGAGCATCTGAAGAATTATCGAAATCTTTATCCCTCACTTTTCTCTAGTAAGCACCTTGTAGAGCTCTCCTCCCAAGTCAGGAGCGTAACAGGGTGGCTATACTTGAAGAAACTGATACTCAGAGGGGTTAAACTACTTAAATGTCACACAGTTTATATGGAGCCATATTTTAAGTCTGGATTTGACTAACACTTGAACATAAAAAAATTGTGCCATTCACTCTTTTTCTAGGTAGGAAAATGGGCAGGTCCCTTTTCCCATGGGAGACTAAAGGACTAACAATATTAAAAGTTTGGAGACACTGCAGTGGGAATTCTGTGTCTAGAAGTTCTTTGGGAATAAACAGGATCGTTGTGCTTAGTTAGTGTTCATTTATTTGTTTTTTGTAGTCACTGACCAGTTTTCACTTTGAAGTTTGCTTTACAAATCTTTTAAGAATATAGTGAAAACTGTGCACCTTCTCCTCAGAAAATTATATATACAAACAAAATTTGCTCTGTTACTTTTTTTAAACTTTCAGCCATTGTTTTGTTTTCATTGGATTATTTCAGTACATCAGCTACACAATCGATAATAGTATTCTTATCAGTGCAATAATCATGCAGATTGATCCCCGTTTCTTCTGCAGATGCTACAGGAAAACCTCTTGTTCAGTGAAAATATTAGTGAAAAAGTCTTCATTTATTGCAGTCACTTTTTAAAGAAATGTAGACTTTACGGGATCTGAACTGGTAGAAAAAGTCTTTACTAGAATGTATTGAGTGCCTACTACATGCCAAACACAGTCTAAGTGCTTTACAAACAGTATCTAATTGCAGTCCTCTAACAACTTCACAAGGAAGAAATCACTGTCCAATATTTTACCGCAAGGAAACAGGCTCAGAGTGGAAAAATCACATACACCTGAGTGTGGTGAAGAGCTAGGTTTCAAACTTGGGCTATCCGGTTTTCCAAACCATTTCCCTATCCTAGAGCCACCTCCAAAATGCATATCCAAACTGAGAACCTTGTCAAACATCAGTATTTCACTGAATGTGAGAGACAAAAACAAAGTACCCAGCTTCAATCTAGACCTCTTGAATAAGACCACTCCAGTGGGCTGCTTCTGAGGGAAGCAGTGGATATAAAAGCTGATACTTAGGAACATAAATATGACCAAACCTAGTGCAAGACTAGTTTTTCTTAAAGCCAGTACATTCATTTGGTAATGAAACAATGCAAGTGGGTTGCAAAGAAATGTATTATAATTAGGAGTCATGTCAACAAAACAAATCCTTTAGGGAGAATGCCTGAAAATAAGCAGAAGCCAGGGACTGATTTGTTTATTTCAGTTGTTGCAGCCATCAGATTGGGGAGAACTTTGTAATTTCTTCAATAATTAATTTAGTTAAACCATCACTGGTCATAAATTAATTCAGATGGAGGACCAGGTCTACAAAAGCTGGCATGTATCTACTTTTTTAATGATTAATTAGGTTCTTGGTACCACCTGATGGTTTAAAAGACAGTTAATAACTTCCTGGCTAACTTTGAAGAAAGATAATTTTTAATGTTAATAAAGTGATAGAGATTGGATTCAATATCTGTATTTTAAGTAAGTATGGAAAGACATATTCCTGAAAACTGCTGTTACCATGAAAAAGTGAGCATCTCTCCTCTGTCTCCCTGACATTCGTGCATACCTCTAGCATATCTAATACACAGTATTATACTTGTCAGTTATAATCACCTTTATTAGACCAGAAAATCATTTGAAAACATAGATTGTGCCATTCTTTGCTGTAATAAGTTCAGTATCAAGTACATAGTAGGTTTGCAAAAATGTTTGTTGAAAGAAAAAAGAAATAGAGGTGGGAGATCAAGATCTTCCATGAGGTAAATCACATTTTTAAATGTTTGGCTTATGTTAGTGGAAAAAGTTTCCTGTCTACAGTTTATTGAGTTTGTTATAACCCAAACTGTTGATTTTAGGCTGTAAACATCATGTTCCCTATTATATGTTCTTATTACAAGTTTTACTGTTTTCTGGGTTTATATTGTTAATAAGGGGATTATAATTGCCAAGAAAATATATTGTACCTAATAAGGAATCTCTTTTTAATTAAAATGTGGAAAGAGAGAAGTTAGATATTACAGTTAATAGAAAAAAGTGTCAATTTTCTATTGACACACATTCATTCTTCCTTCCTTTTTTTAAAATTGATTTTAGGAGGGCAAGGGGGGAGAGAAACATCAATTTTGTTGTTCCACTTATTTATGCATTCATTGGGTGATTCTTGTATGTTCCCTGATGGGGAATCGAACCCACAACCTTAGCTTATCAGGACTACACTCTAACCAACTGAGTGACCCAGTTGAGGCCTCCTCAATTCTTTTTTAATCCTTGTCTGTACTCTGGGACTGGTGAAGAATTGAACCAAAACATTTGGCCTGACATTTCAGTAGGTTATTCTTAAAGGTGCAAACCATCAAGTGTTTATGCTAAAGTATCAGTGACAACTATATTAACCTTATTCAGTTGTGAAGTTCATATAGTGTAGTAAAATAAGAGTGGAAGTTAGAATTCAAAGATCTGAGTTGAGATCTCAATACCATCACTTACAACCTAGGTCACCTTAAGCAAGTCTTTCCACCTCCGGAGTTAATTCCTCCTCTATACATAGGGCATATCATATTTTGCCATGTAAAATGCACATTTTTCTCCCAAGTTTTTTAGGGAAAAATAAGGATGTGCATTATATATGGGTAGTACTAATTCCATATCTATATAATTTTTTTCTTTTTTCAAAATATATTTTATTGAATATGCTATTACAGTTTTTCCAATTTTTTTCTCACCTTTCTCCCCCAAACCCCTGCCTGGTACCCCTATCCCCTCTAGCATTTCACCCCCCTTAGTTCATATCCATGGGTTGTACATACAAGTTCTTCGGTTTCTTCATTTCCTATACTATTCTTAACCTCCCCCTGCCTATTTTGTACCTACCAATTATGCTCCTTATTCCCTATACCTTTTTCCCCCTTCTCTGCCCTTCCTCTCCCCACTGATAACCCTCCATATGATCTCCATTTCTGTCATTCTGTTCTTGTTCTAGTTGTTTGCTTAGTTTGCTTCTGTTTTTGTTTTTTTAGGTTCCATTGTTGATAGTTGTGAGTTGTCATTTTACTTTTCATAGTTTTGATCTTCTTCTTTTACTTAGATAAGTCTCTTTAACATTTCATATAATATGGGCTTGGTGACGATGAACTCCTTTAACTTTACCTTATCTGGAAAGCACTTTATCTGCCTTTCCATTCTAAATGATAGGTTTGCTGGATAGAATAATTTTGGATGTAGGTCCTTGCTATTCATGACTTTGAATACTTCTTTCTAGCCCCTTCTTGCCTATAAGGTTTCTTTTGAGAAGTCAGCTGATAGTCTTATGAGAACTCCTTTGTAGGTAACTCTCTTCTTTTCTCTTGCTGCTTTTAAGATTTTCTCCTTATCTTTAATCTTGGGTACCTTAATTATGATGTGTCTTGGTGTGTTCCTCTTTGGGTCCAACTTGTTTGAGATTCTCTGAGCTTCCTGGACTTGTATGTCTATTTCCTTTGCCAGATTGGGGAAGTTTCCTTTC